GAGTGAAATGGGACACTTAGTCCCTAAAATAGAAGCTTAAGTTCTAGGAATTTGACCGTAGTTGGAACTGTGTGAAGATGGCTCTGGAATGGAGTTTCGTCGATTCCGTTAGCTCCGTTGGGTGATTTTAGACTTAGGAGCCAGTATCTATCATCTCTGACTGGGGTACGCAGTTTATATCACGGTTCTGGAGGGCCATACAACATGAGTTGGGTACTAGGGTTGAGTTGAGCACGGCATTTCACCCTCAGACAGACGGACAGTCCGAGCGCACTATTCATATACTAGTGGATATGCTCTGTGCGTGTGTGATGGAGTTTGAAGGTTATTGGGATCGGTTCTTGCCACTTGCGGAGTTTGTCTACAACAACAATTATCAGTCGAGCATTCAAATGGCACCGTATGAGGCTCTGTATAGTAGGCGGTGTCGGTCTCCAATAGGTTGGTTTGAGCCGGGTGAGGCTAGACTATTAGGTACAGACTTGGTTCAGGATGCTTTAGAAAAGGTTAAGATGATTCAGGATCGACTTCGCACAGCCCAGTCCATACAGAAGAGTTATGCAGACCGGAAGGTTCGCGATGTTGGATTCATGGTTGGAGAGCGAGTTCTGCTTCGGGTGTCAACCATGAAGGGTGTTATGAGGTTCGTAAAGAAGGGCAAGTTGAGCCCAAGGTTTATTGGCCCATTCGAGGTGTTGCGGTGAGTTGGGGAGGTTGCTTATGAGCTTGCCTTGCCTCCCAGCCTAGCAGGAGTCCATCCGGTATTTCATATTTCTTTGCTCCGGAAGTATCACGGCGATCCGTCTCATGTGTTGTATTTCAGCTCAGTCCAGTTGGACAAGGATTTATCTTATGTTGAGGAGCCGGTGGCCATTTTGGATAGGCAGGTTCGAAAGCTAAGGTCAAAGAACATTGCTTCCGTGAAGGTTCAATGGAGGGGTCAACCGGTCGAGGGGGCGACTTGGGAGACCGAGCATGATATGCGCAGCCATTATCCTCATCTTTTCACCACTTCAGGTATGTCTTTCTACTCGTTCGAGGATGAAGGATTGTTTTAAGAGAGGGAGGATGTAACGACCCGGCCGGTTGTTTTGAGAGTATTAGCCTCGATCCCCTATTTACCATTTTTCCCGTATCTTTTTATGCATATGTGACTTGCCGGGAAGTTTGGTTTTGGTTTCGGAGGGATATTTTGTATACTTAGTCCCTAAAATAAAAGCTTAAGATCTACGAATTTTGACCGTAATTAGAATTGTGGGAAGACGGCTCCGGAATGGAGTTTCGTCGGTTCCGTTAGATCCATTGGGTGATTTTGGACTTAGGAGCGTGTCCAGAAGTTTGGCCAGGAGTGGACTTTTTGATATTAGGGTCGTATTCCGATTCTGGAAGTTGGAATAGGTCCGTAATGTTAAATGTGACTTATGTGCAAAATTTGGGGTCAATCGTACGTGATTTGATAGGTTTTGGCATCGGTTGTAGAAGTTTGAAGTTTCAAAGTTAATTAAGCTTGAATTGGGGTGTGATTCATATTTTTGTTGTTGTTTGATGTGATTTGAGGGCTCGACTAAGTTCGTATAGTCTTTTAAGACTTGTTGGTATGTTTGGTTGAGTTCCCGGGGGCCTCGGTGGATTCCGTATGGTTAACGGACAAGAATTGGACTTAGTGTTATAGCTGAAGCATCAGCTAATGTTGGTGTCTGGTTTCCTTCTACGCATTCGCGAAGGTTCTCTCGTGTTCGCGTAGAGGAAGTTTGAGTACTACTGGAATTAATCCTTCGCGATGCATGTCCCGCATTCACGAAGCATTGAGATCTTAGGCCTACGCATTCGCGATTGAGTCCTCGCGTTCGCGTAGAGGAAAGGGAAGATGAGTCCCTAGGCAATTAGCCTACGCGTTCGCGATGAGGGTCCCCGCGTTCGCGTAGGGTCAGGCTGTGTAAGCTTCGCGTTCACGAAGGAGGTTTTTGGACTGAATCATTATTATGCTTCGCGAACGCGAGGATGTTTCCGCGTTCGCGAAGAAGGATTTACCTGGGCAGCAGTTTATATTTCAAAAACGAGGATTTTGCCATTTTCATCAAAAACTTGAGATAGAAAGCTCGGATTTGGACGAGATTTTGAGGGATTTTCAGAGACATCGATTGGGTAATGATTCTTTACTTGTTTTTAGTTATATCCCACTAATCTGTCATTAATTTCACCTGCTAATTTAAGATTTGAGTTGAGAAATTTGGAAAAAGGTGGAAGAAGTTCTACAACCAAACGTTTGGGTTTTGATTGAGATTTTGGTATCGGATTTGAGTAATTTTGATACGAGTGAACTCGTGGTTGAATGGGTCTTCATATTTTTTGACTTTTACCTGATTTCGAGACGTGGGCCCGGGTTGACTTTTTGTCAACCTTTTGGGGCGATTTTCGAAATTCTTGTTAAAGTCTTGATTTCATTAATTAGATTAGTCTATTATAGTTGTATTTATAGTATGTAATTATTTTTTGCTAGATTTGGGCCATTCGGAGTCGAAAAATCGAGGAAAAGACATTTTTGTTGATTGTTTGATCTTGGCTCGAGGTAAGTGGCTTGCCTAACCTTGTGTGGGGGAAATCCCTTTAGGATTGGGTATTATTGTGGCACTTCTATAATATGTGAGTACCGTGTACGCGAGGTGACGAGTGTGTACACTGGCTAATTGTTGTAAAATTCGGTTTTACATTGCGCAGTAACCTATTATGTCTTTAATGAGTTATCCTAGCATGTGTAGTTATCTTGTTTACCTTAATATCGCAGGTCTACGTGTCTTAAATGCCTATTTGCAATCTGTGCAGCATGCTTAGTTGATTTCCTGTTTTTCCTAGATTTGTATTTAGTCTTAAACTGTAGGATTTCTTGCTCTTAATTGTTGTGTGCCATTGATTTCGAGCTGTGTGTTTATTTTTGGGACTACGAGGTGGTATCTCGGGAGATCCCCCTGCACATTCTTTTTTGGGACTACGAGGTGGTACCTCGGGAGATCCCCCTGTATATTTACTTTTGGGATTACGAGACAGTATCTCGGGAGCGCCCATATTGTTCACCTCTATGTGTCGTGTTGTTATTTCTCTGTGAATTCTCTTTGTTAAATTCTTAGTCTTTCATCATGATGTTATATCTTCTGTCTTATTATTATATCCCAGTAGGGCCCGGACCTGACCTCGTCACTACTCTACCGAGGTTAGGCTTGGCATTTACTGGGTACCGTTGTGGTGTACTCATGCTACTCTTCTTTACATGTTTTGTGTGCAGATCCAGGTACCTCCTACCAGTCCCGCTATTAGTTGTGTACTTGTTGCTGCTTCGGATACTTCAAGGTATATCTGCCAGCATCCGTAGACCTCGGAGTCTCTCTCTATCCCTTTATGTTGTTCATCCTTTATTCTTCTAGTTACTGATGTATAGAAACAGTTAGATAAATTGTTAGAGCTTGTGACTTGTGACTACCGGGTCTTTGGGAGTTGTTTATACTCAGTATTGTGGCTTTAATTGTACATTTCAAGCGGCATCTTTCGGTTATATAGTTATCTGTTGAAGTTTAGTTGCTAAATTCTGCTTTTATTTCAATTATTCCGCAATTTGCTAGGCTTACCTAGTCATAGTGACTAGGTGCCGTCACGACGTCTTACGGAGGAAGAATTAGGTCGTGACAATGACATACCAAATATATACAACTAACATAATTATATACAAGTTGTATGTAAATTTGTAGTTTTTTTATCGGATTCTGTATGAAAAATTATATACACGTTGTATATAAGTTATATGTAAATGTAGCTTTGGACCGGATTCTGTACAATAAAAATTATACTCATATTGTATATAAATTTTATCTTTTGACTGAATTTGTATATATTTTATAAAAAAACTTAAATTACTTTTTGTAAATAGAAAAACCTAGCTGAAATTGGGATAAATAATTTTAAAATTTCGTATATATACGAAAAATTTCTTCACTTAATACCATATTTTTGTATTTGAGAGCTCAATACTAAGATGTGCGCCTAGCTCACACATCATGCACCACTAGATAAAAGCCATGTGGCTTTTTTTGTGTCTCATTATTATATGATTTTATGAAAGAAGTTAAAGGATCTTTTACTATGTTTTGGTTTTAGCCATCAATTCCTTTGAGACTAGTACCTCACGAACATGTTGTTCAACTAGCTTCATTCACATTTGGTAATTGAATGTTATATTCATCATCTTTAATGTTATTATCATTGTTGTCTTATCTTAATTGAGACTCTACAATTTGATTGAGAATGTCAAGGGTGGTCGGGTGGCTCAAAGGAGAGGCTGGTAAAGCTTTGATTTACGCCCTCGAAATTTTGAGGCCCCAAAAAATTTTGATAGTAAGTTTTATGATTTTATTTTAATTTAGACAATATTAAAGTTTGCAAAAAAAAAATACAAAAAAATTGTAAAAAGAAAGAAAGTGATGTTATCTTTTGCGTATCAAAAATTTTAGTGGCTCAATAAAATTAACCATTTACCTGGATCTTAACCGAATTATCTGTTCTCTGCATTCAATTGAAACAAACGCTATAACAAAGGAGAACTAAATCAGTTTAAATAAGATAAAACTGATGCTGATTTATCCATTCTATTTTAATTTGCTATGCACAATGGGTTGACGATAAGACCAGAGGTGATGTGCGGGCAGTTGAAAACTAGTTGAATCAATGTGTTGGTCATGAGTGAACCGGCCAAATTATGCTTGAGCCGAGATGTGTATGCTTAATTCGGAGTAATCAAGAGTCATAATTTAACTCGTGCGACATAGAACTATTTCTTCATTTGTTCGTTTATTTTTATAAATTTGGTTAATTACTAATCAGCATAAAAATAATTTTTCTTTTCTTTATCGATAGAGAAAGTGATGCAGATCCACATGATGTCACGAGATTGCAGAGGATCCTTGAAACTATGGAAGCATGAGGACCTTGAAAAGAACTCAAAAGATGGTATATTTGGAGGTCAAAATTGATTATGAATTGCAAGGAAGAAGCCTCAAGTTGAAGACAACTATTGAATTCCATTAACTGCTGAATTTCATCGGCTGTGGGTAGCAACCATGTTAATACCATGAAAAAATGCACTACACTTGGCTAATTCCTACCACTGCATGATACGACCATTACAAATGATCCAACACAAATAATGAAAACTAAAGGCGGGCATTCCAGCTTGTGCAGTAGAATCCAATCTCGCTGAAGTTGACACATTGAGACAGCGCAGCTGTGAGATTTCTTAAATCATCTAATGTGTGAGCTGCACTCAGAGTTATCCTTAACCTGAAAGGAGGATGAAAGTAAATAATGTTCATAAGAAAGGTAAAAAGAAAAATTAGAAAGTTGAATATATATCTTTCTGTGTGTACATATATGCATTCTGAGGGGAAGTATGGATCAAAGTTTTAATAATATCCTGAAACTGGCCAACTGAATCAACCCAAAAACTGCAATAATACTCTAACTCATACCTACAGAAGAAAAAATTTGCACATGAAAACACAACCTTTCAAATTTCAACCATGTTTGATTAAGCATGAGTAAAATTCCAAAAAGTAGCTTTATACTACCTCAAAATTACCGATAGTATCGATGTACTAACTTGCAACCAAACAAAATGGAACCACTGCTATGCATTATTAGATCGGAATTTCTTAAAAAAAGGAAGGTGGTTTTGTGTTAGAAGTTATAGGATAGCTCATGGGTAGGTGTAAGATTTGTCGCTCATAGGCCGAGGTGACTGCACACCCTCTATTTTGTGAACTTTATCTCCTTGGCTAGGGGGTGAAGGCAAGATACAAACAACAACCCAATAACCTTATATGATATGTATAAGTCAAGCATAGCTACATCAAAAGTTCCTTAAGCAGAACTACCTAATGCAAGAAAAGCACCCAAAGTCCCACTTGAAAAAATCAGGAGAGCAGATTAACAGAAAATGATTCAACACAAATTGCCATGAAGAGGATGATATTACAAACAACAGAGAACAATACCAGAAAGCTATACAAAAGCATCAAACCTGCATGAGTTGGGGGCCACTGTTGGAGGTCTTATTGCAGTTATGTGGAAGCCAAATTCCAAAAGATGCCTGTTTAATAAAAATGAGATCTTTGGGAACAGATTAAAATAGAGAGACAAACAGAAAGACAGACAGACGCTCAAAAGACAGGGAAACCTGCTAGCTTTCAAGGCTGTTGCTTCACTTCCCACTATAAGGGAAATGATGGGACTTGTAACGGGAATCCCCGTCAGGTCGCGGAAATCTTGGACCCTGTTCCATATAGCTCGTCTACGCCACATCTCTTTTTTTGCCACAATAACAGCAGCTGCATAAGTTGCATCATTGACAATGTAGAAATAAGCCACATCAAATGTAAAGATAGGAAAATTGTGTACCAGTCTCAATTCCTACCTAGTTCAGGTTTTTTGCTCCTCATATTTCTTAAGATATTTTATTTTATTTTTTGCTTTACTTGTGACAAGCAGAATAAGAAAAAGGATCTTGTTCATAACTATGGTAATGAGAAACACTAACATTTTGTCTAACATGCCACACAAATCTACACTAGTCAGCAACCACGGTTATCAAAACATTTTTCTGTTCATCCAAGACCTCAGATAAAGCAATGATGAAAATGTTCATTCCACTTGGTAGATTTACCATGTGCAGCAGCAATTACGGGCACGGGGGTAGAAGTTGAAAATATGAAAGAGCGGCCCCTGGATTGTATCAATTGCTTCCATTTCTTGCTGTTCATTTAGCATTTCAACCCCAAAAAAGAGAAGAGTAAACGACAATTCCAATTGAAAATAACAGTAAATGCACTTCTTAAATTGTGCATAAAAGTCAAAGATTTTAGTATCATTAAGGAATTTGAATTTCATAAAAGAGACAGTTGATCCATCTTTACTACATATCCTGCTGGTTGATAAAGAACTCCTAGTGTAATAAAATAAGCAGCCAAAAACATAAAGAAAGAGAAATCAGTTTTGTGGAGAAAAATTTATATTTGAACTTAGAGGTATAGATCCAAAACTCCAGAAGCCAAAGAGCTTGCGTGAGATCCACATAAAAGAAAGGTAAGAAAAATCATCTGGTACAAGTCTACCTTTAGATTCTGATTAATGAAGGAAGACTGGCCCCAAATGATGTTCAACTGCCAACTGATTTCAATCTTAGAACTCACAGCAGTAGAAAAACAAAGTATTGCTCCTAAACTGAAGACTCTAGTCTTTTTAACAAATTAATCAACTGAGGATTAGATTCAGGAGACCCATGCAATCTTCTCGGAAGTAACATAAAAAAGAATTTATGTGTGTGTATATCATAATATCATACACACACATGTACATTCTACTATTCTTTTTAGAGTAATACCTGCATGCTATGAATCCACCATGGCAGCCTGCTGCCTTACTCAGAGTACCCATGCAAATATCCACATCATTTGCGCAGTTGAACAACTCTGCTGCACCACCACCAGTTTTTCCACAAACAAATGTTGCATGAGCCTAAAGTTGGGTGGGAAAAAAAGAGCAGAATTCCTTATAATTATTAAGCATATCATAGTCGAATCAATTCAAGCAATAAGTAGAAATTCCTTGTCAAAATTAAAAAAAAAAATCAAACAATATATAGAAATAAAATGCGCAAGCCATAAACTATTACATTTAAAGGACGAAATGTCAAGAGACAAAAGGACTCAAGTATGAACACGGAGATTATAATTCTGAAACCTATGATTATTTCATTAGTGCTATTCTGCCCAATGAAGAAATACAATGGATGTTTATTGGGCAGAAAAGCAAGTATCTAGAGCCAAAGTAAGATTTGAGGAATAAATAAGATAAAACTCTGACTTTTCTTACCAGAAGTTTAAGGACTTACATCATCAATTGCCAACAAAAACCGATGCTTCTTGCGGAGTTTCACAAGGTCAATTAATGGTGCAAAGTCTCCATCCATACTAAACAAGCTGGTAACAAAGAACAAAATTAAGTACTTGCAAAAGAATTAAATCAATTATCATAAATGCTTCAGCAATTCCTACATATCCATCACTGCTCCATCTTTGACAGCTAAAATGATCACACAAGAAGCTACTAAGAAATGCAATTCTGTATGGTCATTATAAAATTGATTGGTGCCCTCTCTTTTATTCTTTCCATTATTTTTTCCTTCTTTTTCTTCCTTCTGTTTCAAGTTTTTTCTTGACCATGCCAGCTCAGAAGAAATTGATAAGAGTGAAAATTCCAATCATCACTCACCTGTCAGTAATGACAATTTTTTTCTTCATTGGGCAATTAGTTCTGTTAAAACACAAAAATATACAAATGAAATACAGAATAACATCCCTTGAAAGTAGAAAACCAAATGAAAAATTATCATACAGTAACTCATTAAGATGGCGCATGTCACAGTGTTGATAGACAAAAACAGCTATGCCTTTTTGTTTCTCAGCTAGTCGTATACCATCAATGATTGATGCATGATTCAGGGCATCAGAAAAAACGGCAACTCTTTCATCTATTGAAGGTTGACTGCCTTTGGCTAGGAGCACACTAACATTGCCTACGGCTGTCATAAAGGCCATGTTGGCTGAAAAGCCTGTTGGACAAAGAAGGCAATCCTAATATGTAAAATCAGAGAGAGTAAGCATCAGTTTGAATCAGTTATTCACTGTAAAAGTGTACATGTGTCAGCTTTTTTCAATAATAATCTCAATTTAGAACCATCACTAGTTAAAAACATTCCAATAAATACGATGAATACATCCACTCATCTTATTATTATGCAGAGTCCTAGATGATGATTAAGAAACTTTAAAAATATGTACTACAACATAATAGCAGTATAAGAATAGAGGGAACACAAATCAGACCGATATGATTTAATAGTTCATCACCATCAAGTTAGTGACAAATGGTTCCTAATTTGAGAATATTTTGCAGCAAGATATGATGACTTAATTTTGATAAACATAAAACATGAATATCGTCTTTAGCCTAAAAAAAGTAAACACGCAAATTGAATTTCTACAGTGTACAGAACATTCAGAAACAATCTGATAAAATGGTAGTTTCTTTTTTATTCTTTTTCTCTTGGTGGGGTCATAAATTCTTCTGGGAAAGTCCTCCTTAGTCACATACAAACACAAGGATGTGCTTCTTACTTTCTCACTTGTCAATTTGGAGAGAGAGGACGGTTTGCCTTGTTGAAGTGCAGGTTGGATTGTNATCCTTCTGTTATCATGGAAAATAACCTGCTATTATTGTGAAAATAGAAAACAATCAGTTGCCCGTCAACTTGAATGATACAATATCAATTTGAAATTCAAACCCCAGAAATATTGATTAACCACCACAACTATCACAGTCCAATCATAATTCTTGCTAGAGATTACGAAATAACCAATCTGCTTCCAGCTACCACCTACTAATACCATAGTTATTCATGCCAACTATTGTTTTCTGCTGTTCTAAAATAGATTAGAGCAATCAACTCCACTTTGTGCAATCTCTTACATCCATACATCATATTTTATGAATTTCTCCTCTACCAGCCCAAAGAGAACCAGAATCAAAACAGAAAGGAAAGATACATCCCTACTATAAGCAAAATATCATTGCCCTTTTCTTTAAGAATTTCTTGAGTGGATTAGCATGTTTGGGGAATTGAATTGTTTTATGAGAAGTTAAATGTAATCGAAGCTAGGAATACAGGTGTAAGATGGAAGAACAAGGTTGCCTTGTTAAACTGGGGTAATGTTAGGGACAAAGGATCAAGAAGATGACCTTTATTGGCAGGAAAATCCGCTGAGCATCATACAAACAGGCAGACACTCAATTATCTACTATAGGCAGTCTAAATTTATTAAAGATTGCATCATTAACTATCAATGAAGGACATGAACAACACATCCAATTTGTTTGATTTCAAAATCACTATAAAGATCATATAGCATTCTCTAATTGTACAAGCTAACAGTAACAAATGTACATAGAACTAGTCCAACTCTTGCTACTCTAAAAATCAATGAGTCAATAAGAAACCACAAAAAAAAAAAAAGAGCTCCTGAGTTCTCTGACTCATAATTAAAATTCCTAAGCTATTGCCTTACTTCCACAAGGAAAAGATACAAAGGAAAATAAGGAATGTCGCTGTCGCATTACATGCTCTTGCATTTTACTTAGTATGTTTTTACTGATAGATAGGTTTCCAATTAAGCTAGTTCACCAAGTCTAATTTTACAACCTCAAAGGGTTGACTAATGAAGAAGACAATACCTCCTTGCTCTTCAACTCAGCCAAGGATGACTCTAATGATCGATGATAATTTGTATAACCACATATTAGTGCAGAACCTCTTGGACCCATTCCATGCTTTTGGACTGCCTGAATACAACCACAACAAATTAGTCAACTGTCATAATAACATCATAAAAATTCATCAATAAACGCAAAGCTGAAGAGGCGTAAATTAGAATGCCTGTGTTGCAGCCTTGGTAACTGCTGGATGAGAACTCAACCCCAGATAATCATTTGACGAGAATAGAATTAACTTCCTGAATCTTCCCCCCCCATACCCCTGCTTCAGTATCAGCTGCACCAGTACCACCAAGGTCATCTCCTATTAAGCATTGATAAGAAAAGCTATGAGCAGAATATTTCAGGCAGTTATAATAATGCATAAAAGATAATAAGAGCGTTGCGGTGTTGCAAAGTACTCTTTTTAGTAAAACTTGTAGCTTTTCTTAAAGATAGCATTCTATAGCATTTTTTTAGAACTAACACTCACGAGTCTGCCTAAGCCTTGGTGAGAAAAGTTACTCGGTACCATTGCTGGGGAGATCGTCGTACCCGAGGTGCGCAAGCTAGTCCGGGCACCACCGTCATTTTTTTTTATAAAAGAATTAGCACGCACAAGTGATACGATTAGTAGCCTCTTTGGCCAAGCTTCTCCAAGGCCAAAAGTGTTTTTTTCTCAAAGTTGAGCTGTTTGGCCAAACTTTTAGGAAGAACAAATATGCTTTTTAGTAGAGGCATAAGCTGTTTTTGAGAAGCTGAAAAAAGTAACTTCTCCCCAAAGCAGAAGCAAACGTTGTTTTTAATTTTCCTCTAGGCAAAAATATCCGTAATAAAAATTATACATACCAAAATAACCCTACTCAATATAACCTAATATTTAGCTATTCTAAACGCCATTCTCCTAATGTATAAGTATTTCTTTTTATTTTTAGGATAGATTTCTAATATCATATGGTGACTTTTGGGGTGAATACTGTTATATTTATTGAATAATATTATGATATATTTAAACAATTGAAAGAATAAAGTACTTTTCAATTTTATTTCATATTTCACTTAATAAAAATGAAAACTTAATTATAGTCTTTCATAATAAATATTTGAAATTGTTTATCTACTTTCAATAATATTAACTAAATATTAAGTAAATCTTTTCATGTCCTCGTTCGTAAATTGACACTTAAAATCACTTTTTTGAAGAGCTTGGCCAAACACAAATTGTTGCTCAAAAGTGCTTTTCAAATTGATTAGCCAAACACAAAATTATTTTTCTCCAAAAGTATTTATCCGAAAAGCACTTTTACAAAAGCACACTTCAAAATAAGTTAATTTTAGAAGCTTGGCCAAACAAGCTATAGGTGAAAATTGAAGCTACCACCCTCTCTATACCAATTTATCCAACACTTTTTTCATGATGTCCCAAAATGTTTGACACTATTCCACTTCAACATGACTATCAAAACTGTCAATAATTTGAATTTATTAAACTGTTCAAATTTTAAAGATTTTGACCTATCAAACTAACTTTCCAACCATTACACATTTATATTATGTTTCATCAAGTTAACATGTTAATTTCCGCAACAAAAATTGAAATTACCAAAAGAAGGAGCAAAAAAAAAAAGGTTATACCAGGAGAGGGAATATCTAGAAGCCATTTCTGGAATGTGGTTTCGGAAATCTCTACTTCAACAGAGGCTCTATCCGACTGGCACAATCCATCGAAAAATTCAAACACATCGATGTTGATATCATCGGAGAGGTGAATGGGCCTAAGTGAACGCAGGAGTTTAAGGGAGTCCAGTTTCTCAAGTGCCTGCTCAACCCATTCGTTCCACGAGCCCATTTCTAGCAATATAATGGCGGGCGTGAAGAACGATGTTATTAGGAGTTGGGGTACTAGCCACTAGGAGAAGAGAAGCTTCACTATATATAGTGGGAGATAAGGAAATCAAGATTGATTAGAAGGATGTTTGGCTAAGCTTATAAGCTGATCAAATTGGCTTATAAGTACATTTTGGGTTATTTACGCGTTTTGATAAACACTCAAAGTGCTTATAAGCTAAAATCAGTCATAAGTCATAAGTTGGTCACCTCCAACTTATGGCTTTTCAGCTTATAAGCACTTTTAGTTTGACCAACACTTTTACTAATTTATCCTTAATAATATTTTCTAATTCACAAAATACTTGTTCCAAAATAAATTTCTTGACTTTCTCTTCATTCTATATTCGTTATTAATTCTTTTCTTTACAAAGAAATTTATAATTTATAATTTTTTGAAAAACATTCAAGGGTATTTTAGTCATTTTAACAAAAAATAACTTATCAGCACTTTTTAATCAAACACATCAACTGCTTATTATCAATTTCAGCACTTCTATCCAAACACGTAAGTGCTTATTTTAAAAATCAGTTTCAACACTTAAAAAAAAATTCAGCACTACAAACTTATCAGCTATTTACAATCAGCTAATCCAAACGGGTTCTATGTCATCTTGTTAACCTACTCTTTGTTTTTGTACGTTTGGATTACTAATACTACTCAAATGACTCGGATTATACATCGAGGTTCCTCTCGGCTCGGCTCGATTTGTTTTGATAATAAAGCTCGATCAAGTTTTGAATCAAAGTTGAGATTCAATGACATTGACTTCGCTCAACTCAACTAATCGTGTAATCACTCTGAATATTACTTTTATTTCTTATTAATTTTTTTATCAAATGGTAAAATTCATTCTTAATAAGTATAAATTTATAAATTCATTATTTTATATTTCTTTAATTAATCTCTTTGTAACTTGTTTCCCCTTAAAATCGGATAACAATTAAATTTATAAGTGGTTTTAAGAATATGTGATTTCACTTGGCACAAACTGAGAAATATGAGAATTGAAGTTAGAAATTAACTGTAAAATGAAGCAAACCAATGTAACGCGCAACTTTGACCCTCGATCTAGGTCGCCCTCGAACTAACTGAGTATATTATTGAAAAGTAAGAACTGAACAACTGAATAAGAGAGTTTAAGAGAGAAAATGTAATATATTGCTTTGTTATGCGTGAATGTCCCCCTTACAAAATGATTGGAACCCCCTTTATATAGTAGAGAAGTTCTACATATGGTACAATTCTAAATACAGAAGAAAATCTCCTAATTGACTAATCAACCCATCTTGACTTGATACATGCCGAGATATCCGCCACAATCCTCGCCCGGTTACGGATTCCTCGGCTTTCTGTTATTCAATTTAGCAAGCTTCCTTCGATCTCGCTACATCTCTATCCTTCTCGGTCTCGATTAACCATACAAAATCGGGCAAGTCCCGATTTTGACTGTATATAGATAGTCCCCTCATTTTTTTGAGAGTAATGACAAGAAACGATTTGAGCCTTCGATCTTCACCTCGGTACATCATGACGTAATCGTCGTGACATAAGCAGCAGGAGTGACCGAAACGTCTCGTCGGTACAGTTTTTCGGGTATTTAATGCGCGCCAGTCGACGGTCGGCCATTACCAGTTTTGAACCGTCATTGTGAAACCGATAAATAGCCCCCTTCTTCATTATTTCAAACTTTACTTTCAAATCTTTTTCATTCCAATCTCCATAGTCCTTTGCCTTCTCCAAAGCTTCCTATATTCAGGTTTTTGAGTTTCTTTGCTTGTTCTTCCTAAAACACCAAATAATTCAATCTCCATTCTTCTTTGCCCATAAAATGGCCAAAACATCTAAAATTGTTCCGCAGAAAGAGGTTGCTTCCTCATATCGGTCGGCCGGCGAGAAACTAGTGGTGGAGCCACGCCCTGAAGAACTTATTCCCGGGGGTGTGTCATTGATTCCGACTTTAAGGTCGAGAAACCCTCATCGATTCCTGGTCGATGCGAGCCGGTATCGAGATATATATGCTCGATATCCAAAAGCCTCCTGAAGAAAGATTGCAACTAGGGAAACAAAGAGATTGTGATACCGGCACCAGAAGAAGCGATCACCACCCATGTGGAAGGGTTCCTAAGTGTTTACACTTATCCTTTCACGTTGGGTCCCCTCGATCCGGTCATCGTAGATTTCTGCAAGAAATACTAGGTGACCCTCGGCCAAGTTTACCCTTCTTTCTGAAGGATCGTGATACTGCTCTATTTCTTCGTGAGCAAAATCGACGGGCTTCCCTTCACCCTTGACCACCTCATAAGATTATATAGCCCTCGACTCTATCGAGGTGGGCTGATAAAGCTTCAACGCCGAGCCACCAAGGTGCTCATCTCGAGTATAGATGAAGACAAATATCGGGACTGGATAGGCTGGTTCGTTCGGGTGAAGATCACGGACCTAATCCCGGCTGAGAGCATACCATTTCCTGAGAAATGGAATATGAAACGTAAGTATGATTCCGTCTTTAATTTCTATTCGTTGTTTTTACTTCTTCATCCTTTCTTATCAGTATTTTTTTCGATGCAGTCGTTGCTTGGATGCCGGGTGCGGTTTCCCACCTCGAGAACTAGGTTAGGAGCCTGGTTTCGACGTCAACATACGCCGAGCACGCATGGCACGATTTGTCAAAGGGTCGGTGGGAGGCTCGTACTCGTGGTAAGACTTCTTGCTGTCTTACCGATTTGCCTATCGTTCAAGCATATTTTCAAACATGAGTTTACTTACTTTCTCCTTTTGTAGATCTCGGAAAGGATGCGCCTATGATACCCCCGTCCGGTGATGAAGAAGTTTCACCATCTATCTCGAAACCGGCGAAGGAGAATAAGAGGAAAAGGGCCTCTAACTCCGGGGGTCAAAAACTCAAGAAGAGAACAGCTCGTAAACCCAACGGAAACACAATCCCGCTGACTATGGAGTCAGTCCAAAGACTAAGGGAAGAAGAAGAAGAAGAAGAAGAAGAAGAAGAAGAAGAAGAAGAAGAAGAAGAAGAAGAGAAAGAAGATGATTTCGAGCTTGTGGCCCGTGCGCGAGCTAGCACCGAGATTCGGAGAACTTTGGAACTGGTGGGAGTTGATACTGCTCCATCTAGGCTTGATGAGGTCGAAGAGGAGACTTCGGCCCAAGTCTCCGAGCCGAGAGGAACCGAAGATTCTTTATCTCGGGGCGAAGAGACCATTGAAGAGGCGGTGGATGCCGGTGCAGAAACCGGTCTTGAGTCTCCATAAGACGGAGGCGGCGCCCCAAAAGACCCACTTGGGGCAATAGAGACCGGGGATTCCCCCTTGTTTCCTTCATTTTTCTAGTCGATGATACGCGACGCTCAGGCCATGGAGACTTGTCACGGGGAGGGAGCTCATGAAGAGGAAGATCCTTTATGTGGTTATTTTGTTGGGGTAGAAGATATCACCGGTCTGAGTGACTTGGAGGCTCCGAAAAAGAGCTCGGGCGAGGCTTCCTCGAGTTTTAAACTGACCAATCAGTTTTCGGCCTCTAATGCCGATTCCGGGCGTAAGCGAACAATCGTTATCACGGTCCCGGAGGATGCCTGGGTTCTTGCTGCCCCCGTAGGGTTGGCTAGCTACCTCCGATGTTTGGTCACGGAAGAAGACCAAGCCCAGATGGACGAGATGGGAGCGCCTTGTCTTTTCAACGAAACCCAACAGGCCCTGAACCGTGTAAGTTCATATTTTCTTTGTCAATTTTCATACTTGTACTTTTCTCCCCTTGTATAATTCCTTCTTTCTGTTTTGTAGGCTTCTGTGCTTCATCATGAGGCTTTCTTCCGATCCCGAGGGGAGCTGAGCCGGTACGAAGCTGAAATCCGAGGTCTTGCTGAGGAGAGAGATGCCTTCAAGCTTCTTAGTGAGTAGAGAGAAGGGCAAAAGGACTTCGGGCTGAGCTAGAAGCAACTTAGAAAGAACAAGCAGATCTGGCCGAGCAGGTAAAAAGAATCTTTGAAGTTAATGACACTGATTCGGGTATGATGGCTAATAATTCGGTCCCACAGGTCCAGCGAAAGCTTGATGTGATCGGGCAGCTTTGTGAGGAAGTGGGCGTAGTGAAAGCGGAGGCCGAGGCATGGAATAAAAACATGGACCGCCTTGCCTTAGAAAAGGAGGTTTCCTGAGCTCAACTGGCCTCGGCTGAGACCCAACTTCAAAGCTTGAAAGAGAAGGCCTTGGTGCAAGCCAAGAAAATTGAGGAGTTCCGGTCTTAGTTAGGTTCAGCAACTTCCGATCGAGAGAGGCTAGCCACAAAACTTGCAGCGGCCAAATCGGAGGTCGAAATGGCCAAGGCTAATGCTGATGCAATGGTGGTCGTCTACTAGTCCGACGCTGAAGCTGCTCAGGTTCGAGCAAATGAGGTTGCCAAAAATGCTCAGGCTCGAGCAAACTGGGTTGCCGAGCATGCTAAATGCCAGTCTCGAAGGGAGATACTCGAGGAGATCCATGCTCGTGGCTTCGATCTTACAGTCGAGATCAAGAATGCTAAGGAGCTTGAAGCTGAAGCCAGAGTGTTGGCCTTTCCTGATGATGATTATTCTGGGAGTATGAGCGGATCTGAAAGCGAAGAAGGACTCGAGGGCGAAGATGTTGCTCCCGGAGAAAACTAAGTCCTTTAGGATTAGTATTTTTTGTGTTTCTTTTAAGACCGTTTCAGTCTTTTGTAGAGAAATTTGATCGGGCCATGCTGCCCTTGTAAATGATTTTTGACATATATAT